ATTCAGACTAGTTGATAGAAATTTGAATTGATGTTTGTCTACACGATGATCACAAAACGGTATCATGAAGATTTGGATGAATTCTATGGTTAAAGATTGATTATGTTACTACAATTGACGACTTTCATCTATTATGAGATGCGAGTATTTAATGGAATGCCCATAAAACGTGCAACGAATATTTCAAGTACGCTGATTAGCAAGAGACAACATAATTAACAGTGCATAATCTGAATAAAAGAGTAAATTTATTAATTAAAATAAAAAATGAAACTTATTGGCACAATAATAATAATATTAATAATAATAATTACATTCCTCGTATCCTCATTTTTAACGTTCCCTTTTTTTTCTTGGCTGGCATACTATAAAACGTCACATGCACGTTACGTAGACCAGGGGATTGACCCGATGTACAAGTAGAATAATAAATTCCCACTCCTACCCCTACCCTAACCCCACCTACCCCACATGCTCATGTGTATATATATGTGAATTGATGTGTATGGACACCAGTAACAGCATTTTGTTATTCGTTTTTAACGGTCTCAGCAACCCTCCCCTCACCGTTTTCATACCTAGATATAACGCTTTTGTGTATATATAGCTATATAATAGTGTAAAAATTATCGGAGTACTGGAGTTTGTCGAATTGAATTGAATTTGGATCAAATGGCGGAACCGATGGTTAATGGACCGGCGAATGAAGGGAAACGGAACGGCAGCATCAATGGGCCGACCAATCCTATGGTGACACCTCTTCTAACGGATCTCTATCAGTTTACTATGGCCTATGCTTACTGGAAAGCCGGGAAGCATGAAGAGCGCTCTGTGTAATTCTCTCTCTCTTTTCGTTTCTTTGTTCGCTGTGATTACACGGTTAATTATTTTATGATTGCGCGTGTGGTTGATTGAATTCTAGAGTTTATTGCATTGGTTGGTTGGGAACTCTTGAATGAAGTATTGATTGTCATAAGTGAACTGGAACGGTTGAATTTAATTTTAAACAGAGTTTTATTCTTAGTTTTTTTATTCTATTGCCACACTTGTGGTTTTAAATCAAGCAGTTGTCATTGAACAATTAATTGATCATAAGCATAGTATTTGTTAATTATAAAGCTTTGTAGAAAGAAATATTTTGTTCGATCAGTCATGAGAGAACTAACAATTCAAGTACCAGTTGTTTGGACATTCCTTATTTTTTCCAGCCACAGGCACAATTATTAATAAATTGAGCTGTAGTCCTGCATTCTTTAACTTTTACAAGATTTTTTTTCTCTGTTGTTGCATTTAGCTTATGGTATCTTTTGTCTTTGCTGGATCTAATTTTGGTTTATTTTGAGATAAGTATTTGGAGCTCTAAACTTGAACACTATTTTCATTAGCTTCCCCAATTGCTTCTGGATTATTGATGGGATTAGTTTTGAAGCTGAAGTTTATCACTAAACACGGAGAAAGATGTGCTTTTGGTTTGACTTTATAAGTTAATATCTTACTAGCCTTTTATTAGCTGCCTTTACAAATGAGGAACTCAAATTCTTGTTGGAAACTTATATTAAATAAATTAAAAGACGAACGAAATGACAGGCTTAATTTTGAACACATTGCATTTTCTTTTCAATGGAAAATTTTGCCTATATTTAAACAAGATATATCTGTGGAGAACAGAAAATGAATATATTTGGATTTATGTTTAACATTTTTATCCAGTTCAGTAAAATTTGTTAGTATGAGAACTATTAATATATCTCAAAATAATTTCTCATAATTTTTTACGTGAGTACCATGTCATTACTTAGGCTCTGCCACGAAAGATTTCCTGACATTTCATCTCTGTCGGTTATGCGTCTCTCCAGGTGCTAAAATCTTCCCATGAAAGATAGCCTGATTTTTTGTAAAGTGTTTTTTGTGATTTGCAAGAACATGATTTAACTTTTTGGCCCTATATATATGTCTTTATCTGATTGGATACATACTCTTATTCTTGGCCTTACGGAGATTGTTCAACATGCAATTTCTTTTTCTGCCCACTTCAGTTTATCAAAACACCATGTGATGTTCTTATATTTTCAGACAATTACTCATAGTTAGTATGTGATTATCTTTCAGGTTTGACTTGTATTTTCGAAAGAACCCCTTTGGAGGTGAATATACAGTTTTTGCTGGTCTAGAAGAGTGCATAAAGTTAATTGCTAACTTCAGAATTACAGAGGATGAGATTGCCTTTATCCGAGCTTCCTTGCCTCCATCATGTGAGGTATACTGATGCATTTGATATGTCAATCGATATATGTTAAGTAATCAAACAAGATGTTGGGCAAAGTTCTGGTTTTTCAACAAGATTTTGCACTTTGAAACCACAGTATGTAATTACTAAACAATATACAGTTTCACTCTCATTTAACTGCAAACAATCTAACTTTATGTTAATTATGATCACTTGGATACATGAAATCCTCGAACCTTTAACTAAGGTGTTGAAATAAATTAAATTAGACAAACCATAATGTGTTTAATAAATATAATTTATGTATTCTTACTATGTGTTACTCAGTTGGGCTACAAGGCCTTGCGTGGTTTCGAATTTTTTAATTAAATTTAATTAGGAGACACGTCTGATCAATTTAAATTTTCATTTCCTGTTTGATTAACACAAATCTGTTAGTCAATAGTAGATTATCACCAACAAAATCAATTTTATTATCTATTCAAGAGTTGTCATGAAAAGGGAAAAGTGATCATAAGCCAAACATTAGTTTCAATAAAGTAATGACTAAATTGTTTCAAACAATGTTTCATAATTTGTTATTTAAAATGCCTGAATTAAAAAGTAGATACAAGATAGCATCGCAGCCTCATTCTCTCTGATAACAATTAATATATATCCATAACATAATCATCAAATTTCAGGTAGTTCCAGTATTCCTATCACTACAATGCATTTATCAGACATTGAAGTTCCCTTGTAATGTATGACAGTTCTTATAGAATCGGTTTTATTAATATTATCAATTGATTTTGACTTTAGGATGGTTTCTACGACTACCTTCGAGGAATGGATTGTTCCAATGTGGAGATACATTCTATTTCTGAAGGATACGTTGTATTTCCAAAGGTACCCTTAATGAGGGTTGAAGGACCAATAGCTGTGAGTACTGATTACCTTTGAAATTGTACTTTATTCATAAATCATAATCTTATTTGGATAACATGCTAAAAGTGTGACTTTGGAGAACATAATAACATATGACTTGATTCAGATATTGGTTTGGTAAGCATCTTTCCTTTCTTGGTTTTACTTTTCTATATTATTGATAATTGTGTCTGTCTTCATAAGGTGGTTCAACTGCTTGAAACTCCACTTCTAAATCTTATCAATTATGCATCATTGGTAGCTACAAATGCTGCAAGGCATCGTTTTGTTGCTGGGAAGTCCAAACTTCTTCTTGAATTTGGGCTACGACGGGCACAGGTCACATAAGTTGTCTTTTCTGCGTGTTTTACTTTGAAGGACTTATCTTGTTATATCATTTGAAGCTTGTTCGTTTCACATTCATGTAGGGACCTGATGGTGGCATAGGGGCATCAAAGTATAGCTACATGGGTGGATTTGATGCTACAAGGTGATTCTCTTTGGAACGTGTAATTTTAAACTCATTTTGTTCATTGGATGTTCCTTAACTATTTTGTTTAGGCGATTCAATACTTAATGTGAAACTTCTACTTCAACTCAGAGCAGTTGAACCTGACCAAGAGGCACTAAGCTACTCATATATTATATCAAAATATTGATGGGATGTATGTTTAGTATGTAATTTGTCATGAGTGGATAGAAGTAATGCTTTGTCATCTTCTATATCATAACTTTGTTTTTCATATGTAGGTTCTTAAAGTGCAGGTCCGACTTTATTGCAAATAAGGTTGTAGTTGTAGTTGTTTGTATACATGTTAAATTTTTATTTATAAATGAATAGTGAATTTTTAAATATCTCTTTCACTTCATTATATGAGTACAATTTCTTGAGGTATATAATGAATTTCTTAACAATGTTGTTATTTTGTTAATGCTTGATAATAAATATACTTCTTAGTATTTTTGTTTTTTGAAAATAGTTGAGATAATTTTGTATCAGGTAACTATTTTTCTACACTTTTCCATTCTCCTAATGCCCTTTAGTTGGTTTTAGAGTTGATTTTGCAGTTCAATAATTTAAGGGTGTTCGCCCTACCCCCCAACTGGGAAAAAAGGGAATATGTTAGCTTCATGTTGATCAACATGATGTATAAGCTACACTCATCTATGTTTTTCTTGTGTGCTAACAGCAATGTCGCTGCTGGGAAATTATTTGGAATCCCACTCCGAGGAACACATTCCCATGCTTTTGTCAGCTCGTTTATGGTAAGTATAATTATGCAGACACGTGTGTATTTATGTATGTGCATTAATTTTTTTATTTTTTATTTTCAGAATCAGACTGTTTGTCCCTGTTTCCTTTTAGGAGTATCAGGAGATTTATTGTAGTTTATAGTAATTTGCATCTTTCTATATATCTAGTCTTATGAGTGCCTTCTGAATATTCTAGTTCTCTACTGCTATGATGTAATGTTGACAATGGCTGGAAGGATATTGTGATTCTTTTTTTCTTCCAGATGAAGAAAGAAACTCTGCTTCCTTTTTTTCCCCCTGGTAGAAACTGGGACGAGGTTGAATATGCTTCATGACTATTTTGAAGTTCTTTGTGCATTTTGATTGAATGATCATTACTCTGAATGAAGTTGGGGCATCGTGGATCATTTAGTAATTATTCTACAGGAGTTCATTATCTGCCTATGATAGATATAATCCGTGTATTGATAATATCTCGATTTTTGGTAACAAAAAGCAGAGATAGAAATGTACGCGGCTTTGGATTGGCATCGAGTGACATTGAATACTTTAGCGCTCACATGCACATAGTTTGAAGTTTTTTGTACCTTCTATGCAATATCTTTGTTTTCCTTCTTGTATGATTTATCCATTATCTTAACTAATTCAATGATTTGCAGAGTCCTGATGAGATCACAGATAAATTGCTTCATAGTTTCGATGGTTCAAATGCTTGTGAGGATTTTGTTAGTTTGGTTCAGACATGGTTAAGAAAATTAAAGGTGTTCTCAACCTCACATTACTTGTTTACCTTGTGTTTTATTTTTCTCTTGCTCATTTTATTAGATTTTGAATGCACTATTATATTTTCTTGCTTCTCCAAGATTTTTCTACCCTCAAATTCTTCATTTATGCAAAATATCTCATGACTTGCTATCTTGTACAATCCAAAAGTAGTGCCATCAAACTTAAATTCTTTAATACTCAGTTTTGAATATTTCAATGTGAGATTTTCTAATTTTAATTCTGATTTAGCTAAACCTTTTGTGAGCACATTTTGGCAGCTGACAAATTATAATCTATACATCTTCATGAAATTAAGCACAACATGTTAAAGTTGTCACATCGTTTTATGCATTGATTCACATTAGTGACTTAATTGTAATCATGTTTCGTGACACTTTCATTAGAAGTACATCATAGTATTAGTGGACATAGGACCATGGTCAGGATGGGCTGCAACCATCCATTACCTCAATATTTTATAAATTCTGTGACTGCTGGGCCATCTTTGTTGCAACATAGTAGGATATTCCCCAAGTCGTCCTGTGTGCCATATCGGTTTTCCATGAAGTTTTTATATCAGTCAAGAAGTGATATATTTATTAAATAAAGCACCTAATTCTGTTTTGTCAAAAGAATAAACAGATAAATAAATCAAAGCCATTAATATCAATTTTGATGTCAAAAGTTTTCAAAACCAATATTTTATGGTGAAAAGACATTTATTTAAAAGATTTAGTTCTAGAAAGGACCAGAAAATGATTTCTACTTGGAAGATATTATTTGGCTCCCGTATTTGAGGCAGGGTGTGAAAAAAGCAAGAAATTTGAATTGCCCTAAATAGTTTTGGTAGAGCCGAGCAATTCTCACCTCAACTCTGCATAGATTTCCCGATTTGTTTTTAGTGTGGAAGTCATTTGTTTGTACCAGGACAAGGCATAACTCAAAGATGAAACCAAATGTTAGCCAAAACTCTGTCCATTGTGTACTTCTAAATATATTGAATTACCCATTAGCGAGTTCATTTACTGTAGTGAAAAGTAATTATATTCCCAGTCTCGAAAAGAATGTCATGAAATTTTGGAGTTTATAAACTTTAACAAGTACAAAGGACTTGATCACAGCAAAATCTTTACAGGGTTATATATATATTCTGTGCTTCCTCCTTTTTTTTAAGAATTGTTCTCTATGAAAAATGAAAGTTGGTGTGATAAAGTTGAACATCAAATGCTTTAGAAAGATTGTTCACATTTTCTTTGACATTAACATATGGGAACTCTATATATCCAATGTTTTCTGATTCAACTCTCAAAATCTGTTCAGCGGTCTCATGTATTGGGTGGAATCTTTGGTGAAACCAATCAAAGCGAGTTAGCTGCTTTCACCTCATATGCTCTAGCATTTCCTTCCAACTTTTTGGCCCTTGTAGACACATATGACGTAAGTCAAAATTTGGCTTTCTTCACTTGACATTATCATAGTTCATGCAAATTTCCTATCTAGCATTGGACACTCCAGTTTGTTATTTAGAAGTCCATATTTGCAGTGCCATGATTGATTCAGATATTTTCCACTAATTGCCTTCAATTCATGATAATACTGTTCAAATATGGTTCACCTGCTTTCGCATCTCTGTCTTAATGATTTTCCAAGAAGTGAATTGATTGTTTTATTATAAATGTGATATACGAGGTGGGATTTTTATTACGCAGTTGTATTGTTTCACTTAACGATTGAGGAGCCTGAGGTAGTTTTTGAACTCCAACGATTTAATTGGTAGTTTGCATGTCTTTGAAAATCTATAACACTTCAAATTGAGAACTTGAAAATTTCTCAAGACATATTAAAAGGTCATTATGGTTTACTGATTGTGTTTTATCTAACAAAATTTCTCAGAATTCCTTATTTTTAGTTATACTTAGGGTGTGTTTGAGCCACATTATTTTGAAGGAATGTATTTTGGAATAGTAGATTGATGGAGAATGTGTGGTTGAAAAAGAAGGAAAAGTTATTGATGTAATGGAAAATATTATTTTAATAAAGAATGTGTGGTTGAAAATAAGTAGAAGAATGAGAATGAAAATTTTAATGGGTACCAAACATNATAAAAATGAAAATTTTAATGTGGTTCAATCGTGGGCTTAAATTGAACTTCCATTTCAGTGTTTATTTCCTTTTCACTGTTGTGTCTTGCTTTGCCTTTCTATTCTTTCTGTAAAAGAAATTCTATAAACTACTACCTTGAAACATTGCTAGATAAACAGCTCATATCCTGGTGAAAATCAACTTCAATATACTGTGAACTCATGTGAATACTTTGAATTGTTAAAATTTCTGTGTTTCACTGGCCATAGTTTTAATTTCAGTTCTCTTTAGATGCACTGTTTCTATTTCATATTTGTTTTATGTTATTGCCTTTAATATAGCTTCCGTTATCAATTATGACAGGTCATGAGAAGTGGTGTTCCTAATTTTTGTGCAGTTGCTCTAGCTCTAAAAGATTTAGGGTATGTCTGGACGACTTATTTATATGTTGGCAATTTACATGCTGAAAATGATTGTATCCGTGTTAGCATGATTGTTTCACCAAACTATTGATATATACTGTTAAGTATTTAATTTTTTATAGGTTCACAACGTGGTTGGAATGTCTAAGATCAAATTATTTTGAAAAAATATACTTTGTTATTACTCTTATTGGATCTTTCAGTAACAGATTGAAGCAGTGGCTAAAACGTATTCACATATCCATCATCAAATTTATGAGAATAAGCCTTGTTTTGTTGTTGTTGTTCTATCATTACATTTATATGCACATTGATGCGTTCAAGGGAGAGCCATAGCCTTTTGAAAAGTACTCTCCTCTCTTTCCTTATCAAAAATTAATCCTCACTCCAAATTCAAATTAATGGCAAATCTGCCCCGTCTTTATATATCATATATATGTAAATAGGGTCTTATCTGAGTTTAATTCTTCTGCTTCTTGATTTTTTAATTTGGTTGTTTGCAACATCTCGGAGTGGTTAGATCTTTTTCAGTTGTCATTATTAACCTGTTCTTATTTGTTTCACGTGGAGTTTATTTTTTCCCTATGCTCACAAATCAAACAGTTATGTGCTGGTTGCAAAACCTGGCTTCACCATTACCCCAGACCCCCAAAGCACTATAAAGAAAAAGGACAGCTAGCAGCCCAAGGACTAATGGACTTCTGTTTGTTTACATTTTAAATATACCTTTTTAAAATGTTATTGTGCAGGTATAAAGCTGGAGGCATTAGATTGGACTCTGGTGATCTTGCTTATCTATCATGTGAAGCCCGGAAATTCTTTCAGGCTATTGAGAAGGAATTTGGAGTGCCTGACTTTGGAAAGATAAGCATCACAGCTAGTAATGACCTGAATGAAGAAACATTAGATGCTTTAAACAAACAGGTAAAGGCATTGGGTATTAATCATCCAAAGGTTTAGTACTTCCCCATTATAACTTTTCACATCCTTGGGGCAAGTGCATATTATGGAACTTTGAAAATTTCTATATTGTCTGTGTTGATCAGACTGCATACTTCTTGACCTATGTGTCATTTCAGTGCTGTTCACTTCGTCTAGTTTTTAGCATTTAGGTATCCCCTTTGAATGCATTTATGGCACTAATAATCTGTGGTGCTTTTACCAATTTTACTGATTATTTTAAACTACACAAAATCTTTTCACTTACAAAATTACTTGAGAGTTGTCCAACAAGGTCATTTTGCAATTGTGAAAGAGACTTTATAATTAAGTTCTGGAATGTAAAAATTGAGACCCTTTTGTCCAGTTCAGATGAAAACGAACTCCAACTCAACATCAATAAAATGAAATAGATTCTCTAGTTCTATGTTCTAGGACTAGCTTGCATTTTTTAATCATTGCTTAGTTTTCTTCGTGATGCTAAAAAATGGACATGAACTCAAAGCTAATCTATATATATAGCTGAACAAGCTCTTTTACATGTCCCAAATCCCTGCCTCAGATCTTCTGAGTAATGCATTACAAAAAGATATTAGTTTCTCTTTCCATTTCCACATTCTACACTAAATCCACATACCCTTCCCCACTATCCCCATGCTACTTTGTGGGGAATGGGAGTGAAGGAGAGATGGTACAGACTACAGACTGAGCGTTGGTAAAATTTCAGAAGATGGTAAAAATCTAATTTGTTGCTTATTGATTGTGTTTCATGTCAAATTTTCCATTGCCAATTTACTACCTAAACATATGCAGTTCATGGCTTGTATATTTTGCAGTTGCCAACTTATATTTATTTGGGGTGCAGGGTCATGAAGTTGATGCATTTGGAATTGGAACTCATTTAGTTACATGTTATGCTCAACCTGCTCTGGGTGTTGTTTTTAAGTTGGTGGAAATAAACAATCATCCTCGCATAAAACTTTCTGAAGACATTTCAAAGGTTTGATCAATCCATGAGATATCTCTAAATTTATATTCCAAATTACTTCTATTGTGAATGTCCATATGATCTGGTTTCAGGTCTCTATACCATGCAAAAAGCGATGTTACAGATTATATGGGAAGGAGGGTTATTCCCTTGTAGACATAATGATTGGAGAAAATGAACCACCTCCAAAGGTACTTTCTATATCAATGGATTTTCTTTCATCTTCTTCCCTTGTACCTTTTAAATCCATGATCCAAAAACATCGGTGATCAACAAATTTAGTAAATATGTCAAAAGTGTAAAAAAAAAAAATTCTACTTTTTCAATCTGAAATTTTGTCCTTGTTTGTCTTGGCGTGAGTTTTAGGAAATAGATTAAAATGCGCGCAAGCACATGCTTTTAGATTTTGCCAGAAATGCATCTATCATTACTTTTATATATCTCATATGTATGGTTAAATGAATGACTGTGCAATTTCGGAAGTTATCAACCGTTATAGCATCCTAACTCATCATTCTTCTGATCATGTAAAACTTCGTAATTGATTTATAAACTGATTGCTCTAATGTGTCGTTATCAGCTTACCCTTTTATGGATACACAGGTAGGTGAACGAATATTGTGTCGTCATCCATTTAATGAATCCAAGAGAGCCTATGTGGTACCACAACATGTTGAGGAGCTTCTGAAGTGTTTTTGGCCTGGTAGATCAGGTTAGAGATTTTGGCCTCTTTAGCCTAGATAACCGGTTACTTGGCAGTGCTGAACCACTATCATCTGCATGGGGGTGTTATGGCCATTGTGTGTGTAATGCATATTGCTTGGCAATGCTAAATCCTAGGGGATTCGTGAATCAGTACACTAACTCCCAGTGACACACGTAATTTGGAAAGCTAAATTTGGCTATTTATGCTAATTTTGTTAAACTTATAATAGTTACCATATTCCAGCAGAAAGTCTATAGAATTTTGTGACAAGTTTTCTTTACACAGTAATAAATTTACTCTGACAATTGCTTATTTAGGAATTAGAATTGCGAAATAGACTGTCTTAGTTTGGACCTCCCTTCTCTGTCTCTTGTTTGGTACTTCACTAATAGTCTTTAGTAATACAGGCCTAGAATGTCAGGAAGTTAACTAGTACCTTGTTTAAACTATGCGATTTTTAAAAAGCTGGTTTTTTTTTCAAGCCACTAACAATATCCATTTTCCGGCTTTTAAAGGAAAAGCTAGGGAAGAACTACCTCCCATTAAGTTGATCAGAGAACGTTGTATTAAACAACTGGACCAGATGCGGACCGACCACATGCGAAGGTTGAACCCTACTCCTTACAAGGTATGATCAACAAATTACACCCTACGCCTTATACACTACCTCTATAACCATTAAATGTGTTGCTCTGCGTATACACTGGTAATAACTTTCTCTCAAATTTCACTGGCTTCTATTATTTTTGGGCAGGTTAGTGTAAGTGCAAAGTTGTATGACTTCATCCACTTCTTGTGGCTCAATGAAGCGCCTGTTGGAGAGTTGCAGTAAAAGTTCCCAGTGTGTCACTGAGGGAGAGAAACGTATAAAAATACCCGAGAAGCTGATGAATCTCTTTTTACTGATTTTAGAGTTCACGTGTTTCTATATTGATCAAAGAATAATGTTTTTTTTTCATTTTCCCATTTAGCTTTTTGTTCAAGAGAAGTACGTGTTAATGTGCTTCTTTTCTAATCTTGTCTAAATTTATTAACCGCATGTAATTTTTATCAAATTTTCATAAGGGGATTCGGTGCATTCTTGAAAAGTTAATAATTCCTTCTATACTTGTTTGGTTATATGAAATGATATCTGAATATTGAAATCAGATAAGATGTTCTGTTGAGCATTTTGTTCTTTTTCCATTAGAGATGCTAATAGATAGCCATATTGGTAGTTGGCAAGTACATTAAAGTATGGAATTTGATAGAATTCGTCCAAAAAGATCATTTGTTCACGAGCCTAGTAGGTTGAGGGGGTCATTGCCAAGTACGAAATAATCGGAATCATTTGCACACAATGCCCACATGTTAGAGACCATTAGCACCAATTTCCCTAGAATAGCCAATGCACAGCACTCCCAAGCTATTGCCAATTACTATGAACATATACAAGCATGCATAAAATTGATTTTTAAAAAATCAAAAGTTAGATACACGAAAATTTTACTTACAACAAGTTATCGTTGAGATGATGTAAGGGTTTCAATAATATAACAATTATTTATACTGAGTAACAAAAATAATTCACATCAAATTTTCCTACCATCCAAGAAGCTTTTGCTACCAAAATTGGTCCATCGCTTCCTAGCAAAATATGAGAGCTCTGAGTAGGATAGGTTGTACTCAATTATTATTTAATTTATTAGACAAAACACCAACTAAGCCACAATTTTTGGGGTACATTGTCTTCATCTAAATTTAGTTGGGTGAAGATTTTGAATTCCCAGCCACGTAAAAATATATTACAACTTCGAAAATGAATGAAAGTGTAAATCGAAATGAACTTAAATATGTATTAAATTATATCATGCGATATACTGTCTAACAAATTCCAATGTTTTTTTCAGAACAAAATTACTAGAAACAAATATCGTCCCCAAATGTTTACTTCCCACAGATATTTTTGTTAATTTTGTCAAAAATAGAAAAGTTTCCTTTGTTTCAGTCAATTCATAAAGATTTTGCCCCTGCAGATTTTCCTCCGTCTGTACGCGCTGACAATTCCCGCTCCGTTCGTAATTTCCCACCTGCAAATTCTTCTATTGACCTTAAATACAAGCGAACATTCAAGATTGTCCTAAATATCATAAACGAGAATCAAAGATACAACATCTCTGTCTCTTTCTGTATGTCTCTGGAAGTATTCACAAATTAAGCGCCAAATGCAGGCATGCAAAATTTTGTCCTACTTTTACATTTCAAAAATAATTATTCATTTTCCTATGCTCAATCTTTAATATTTGCAGGGTCTCAAAATTTTCAACATAAAACTTGTGTTGATTACAGGTTTCCTTATTGGCTTCTGTTCCTGTCTCAAGGTACTATGAATCCCAATAAATTATTCCTTTTAAATCATGTTCTTTTTCCATTAATTTTTACAATATTGACAGATTGGGGAAACGTGTTCTTCTTCGAATAATAACTGCGACGCCGGATTAATCTGTGGTACTTGCCCTGCGAATGATAACACCAGACCACGATGCACACGCATTCAGCCCATAATTCCCACTACAAAAGTTCGTGTTTTTATATTACGTGTAAAGATTTTGAAATTTTTTGATCGAATTATGAGGTGATTTTGATGGTTTTTTTTGGGTTTTCGGAAAAAGGTCAAAGGGCTGCCGTTCAATAAGTATTCATGGCTGACGACTCACAATTCGTTCGCTCGGACCAGGTCCAATTCGGGTACCGGTTCTATTCTTCTTGGTCCGGCCAATCAGGAAGATTCCGTCACCGATCAGCTCAACGTATGTAAAGTTATTTTATCATTTTAAAAGTCTTTATTCATCATTAAAACGAAACGTTTGCTGTACATGGTTTCTGGAATCTGAAGTATATATATACAGTGCTCTTCGAATTGCCCTTTTTACAGAAGCAAAATTTAGGAGTTTTTGATATTTAATTTAAGTGTTAATTGATTATCTTGCAATAATTTCCAGATGTCAGGACCTGGTCTGGTTGAGATATGGTTGATGATTTCTCTGTTAAATATATCAAAAAAAGTCTGTTAATTTGTCAAGAAGCAATGAATTGCTACTGCTTTTTTCTTTAAAACAAAGGATTAGGTGCGGGAATATAATTGCCACTCAAGTTTTGCTTTGGATTAAAAAATAAGCATCTTGTGATTCTCAACAAAACTACTGGTCAGATTTCGAGTTTGAGCAATTGATACTAATCTTTAAGAATTTTTTAGCTTCTTTTGGCTGAAACTCTTTTACTTTTCTCCTTTTATATATTCTTTCGGGTTGGGGATTGATGGGGTTTTATTCATTCACTTACATCACATGAAACCGCAGCTTTGTTGTCTTTCGCAGTTTGGTTGGAGCCAAATGACTAATATAGCTAAGTGGTGGTAAATCAACAACGGTGACTTTATGGTGACAATTACATATCATAAATGTATAATTAGAATCTGTATTGTTGCATGACATTGTATCTGAGTTATTTTGAGCTGTCAAATGAAAGTAATGAATAAGATCTGCTCTTTTTGTAGAATGGTGTTCGAGGCCTCATGCTCGATATGTATGACTTCAACAATGACATTTGGTTATGTCATTCATTTGACGGGAAGTGTCTCAATGTAACCGCGTTTGTAAGTATGGCAAAGACTCTAAATTGCATTTCGGTTTTGCTGTGTTTTTTCTTCAAATAATGATACCATGCATTTTTTTTAAAAATTAATTCTCAGGAACCTGCTATTAATGTGCTGAAAGAAATTGAAGTCTTTCTTGAAAACAACCCAAGTGAAATTGTCACCATCTTCATTGAGGACTATGTGACTTCGCCACAAGGCTTGTCAAAAGTTTTCAATGCATCTGGGCTCAATAAATACTGGTTCCCAGCGGCTCAAATGCCTAAAGCTGGTGAAGATTGGCCTACAGTGGATGATATGGTCCAGAAGAATCAACGCTTAGTAGTGTTCACCTCTAAATCATCTAAGGAGGCTTCCGAAGGAATCGCTTACGAATGGAAATATGTGGTCGAAAGTCAATGTGAGTTATGATATTCCACAATTTTACTACTAGTGTAAGACATTTACTTATACCACATTTGATGGGATTCTCCTAAAAGAAGCCTTAGAAGGAATATGGTGATAAAAAAAGTATTGTCAAGGCTATCCATACCAAATTATTTGGGCCATCAATGTTGAATATTTCCTGTTGCAACTTTTTTGGAAGTTTGTAACATATGAAATGCATAAAAGGATCCGTGATTTTGCAAGCTCTGTAGCACGGACACTTCAATCAGGTAACGTGTCCGTGTCGGACACGAGTCGATACCACACTTTTTCGGACGCTCTACCGTAATCATTTTTCTTTTTATATTAAAAATATTATATGTTGTTAATTCAAAGCTATTAGCAAAAAACAAATATGTACTCATGTTTAAAAGATTTCAACAAGAAAAAATAATAAAAAGTATAAAATTAAATTTANAGATTTCAACAAGAAAAAATAATAAAAAGTATAAAATTAAATTTATACTATATAAATGAAGAATTTTTAAGAATTTAATCAACGTGTCGATAACGTGTCGTGACTGTACTTTTTTTAAAAATCTCGTGTTGGCGTATTCAACATGTATCATGTCGGACACACGTGTCCATGTCATTGCATCATAGTTTGCAAGTATAACAGTTTCTACACTGCAAACTTTGACCTTTTCCTTTCTGACCATACAAATCTGTTTCTTAAGAATCTGTATAAGGAGTCAAATGCTGAACTTTGGTATTTGCAGATGGAAATGAAGGGATGATAGCCGGTTCATGTCCAAACCGTGCAGAATCTTCTCCAATGAGCACATCGTCAATTTCTCTGGTTCTTCAGAATTATTTTACTACAAATCCCAATGTAACACAAGCTTGTGTCGACAATTCTGCACAGCTAATCAGCATGATGAAAACTTGTCATGAAGCAGCGGGCAAGAGATGGCCGAATTTCATTGCAGTTGATTTTTACCAGGTACAAACTGATGGGCACAAGTTCTTTTGTCAAAATCTGTTCAAAGCAAAGACAGTTTTACGTAGAAACAAAAAATTAATGGAGTTGGTTTTTTGTTGCAGAGGAGCGATGGAGGGGGAGCCTCAGAAGCGGTTGATGAAGCCAATGGACATTTGACCTGTGGCTGTGACAGTATTGCCTATTGCAAGGTATGATAATTAAACATGAAATAATTCGACATTATTCCATTAGTTTATTGAAAAATTTTAAATGCTGGAGAAAGTTCTACTTGTACATGAGCTTTACCTATTCACTTGATCTTTAAAATGTACATAAAATATGGCAGGCAAATGCGACATTTGGCACATGTGACGTCCCTGTACTTTCTCCTCCACCACCTGCAAAAATTTCACCCACAGGAACGTCGACAGAGCCCAGCAACAATTCTTTCATAAGAAACCCACTCAACCCTCATTGGTTCCTTTTGATTTTCTTAACTGTGGTTCTCCAGCTGTGGCATTAATTTCTACCTATTTTGGTAAAGTTGCTTTCCCATGTTAGTCAATTCATTTGTTTGTATCTAATCATAGTGAGGGATCAAAGATAATCAAATATTAAATTGTGACATTTTTTGTGATTGAATGTTAATAAAGCCCTGCTTGAAGGATTTGCCGATGCCAACTTATTTTACCTTGTAATCTTCCACTTGAGTTGCATAGGAATACAAATTCAGTTATATCACTGCAAGACCACACTGTCAATGTCAAAATTTCTGTCGAATTCTTCTGGATGAAATTCAGAACCTTAATCTGAAACTACAATGTTATGAGCTTCATGTTTTACAGAAATTTTATTTTTACTGTCCATTGATAGAATTATTTTTGTTAAGTTATAGGAGGAAGTTACAAATTGTTGCTTACTACTAATCTGTTTTTGAATTAGAGCCTTAAAGACACGCTCTTTCCTAAGGCAGGATCAGCTATTCATTGTATGGTAATGGTTATATATTCCTAGACAAGTTCTGCATCATTTGCTGTCAGTTTTTCAGGCCATAACAAAGGCTTATTACCGATTTAAGTACCAAAAGAACTAGGAAACATCAAGCATGTTACTAAAGGGCCCTCCATTCATTAGTGAATCAGACTCACTGGCAATGAATATATTGGCCTTAGGAAATTCTTTACATGGAAATCCATAGCCATTCAATTAAACTGCAGGGTGCGCAAGGCATTGGACGAGCCCCATTTTGTCAGTGAAACTTTTGGGTTCTTTTCAGCAGTCTAGGCCTTTAGGGCAGATCATCCAAAATTTTGTTCTACTATTTGTATGTAGACAATAAAGCCAATGGAAACAAAGTGGTTTGGTTTATTTTATGTGCAATGTGGACCAAAAATATAGTGGACGTGTTTGGTAGGTCGAATTAGACAACACTATTGTGCAATTCAATATCTTCAGCTGCTAAACTACGTTGACCTAACATATTTCTCGGCATTTCTGCCTTCACTAATCACGTATTCATCAGAAAATCCATTGGTGGAAGCCTCGAATTCTTAATAGAGTATACCAGTGCCCCTCCCCCCAAATGCAAGACTTCAAGAACCACCATTTCCTCAATAATACTCGGAGATGATCTTCAAAATCCTATGATCCTTCCCAATCTCACTGTGTAACTTTTGTATTCTTTACTTTTTTTTTTTTCTTTTTTTTCGACATATAAGTAATACTTTATTGCCGATGAAATTTTCGTTGTTAATATTTTAATTTTTACATTTTTTTTTACTTTATTTATTGACAAAATCTAGTCGGCTGATTAAATTATTAAAATATTTATTTGAATGATTACTAATTGACAATCCGTTCCATAATAAAATTTCAATGTCAACGGTAATTGAGTCATCGATCGGCTATTCTAATTACAAAATATGTAATGCATGATCATAAAAGAACATTTTTGGGTACTTGAAATCTTTCTTCGGTGACTTTGTTGATGTACAAGTAAGATAAAAAGCTTTGCTAAATCTACTTACTGCAACTTCTTTTCACAAGTATATGTTGACTTATCTGTTTATCAAGACCTAAAATCACGGACCATAAAATTTGGACTTTAGAACATCTAGCACTTATAACATATATTTGATTCCCGTATTATTTAATTCAATTTTACCTAATTACGCACTTTTTCATTGTAGAATGTCTACAATTCCACGGGGCATAGCTCAGTGGTGCAAATGACGGGAGTGAGGTAGTCTCAACTGAGCTGACAGCCATAATGTGAGGGTTCGATTCCTACCTCTTACAAGGTATGAAATTAGACTCTTTGTAGGTACTAGTATGGCAGCTCTTGTACCATGACCTGTTGAGACACATCCCACGATTTACCTCCTCCACAATGCTCTCGAAACGGGGCAGGGGGGACCCTCAAGGTTGGGATTCAATCTTTATAATCTAGCACGTCTTCTTCAACTTGCATCCCAAATCTCAAAATATGTTATTCCTTCACTCAATTGATAAGACTTCACTTTTATTATTTAAGTTAGATCTTATTAATCTTAGAAGAGACACAATATTAAGCGTGACATATTAAAAATAAAATAAAAATGAAACACGGCTTTTATATTAGTTAGTTTTAGCTGTTTTCACTTTGTTTCCTAACTTATTCAACAAGTGTAGCACCTATTTTATGACTTTGCGGTTGTTACAAGTTCACTATGCAAAGATAATACTTTGACATTGTCAATGCCAATCCTACATATTTTAGCACTAAATAAATTGAATTAATCTATGTGTAGTACACATAGGGGATGATATAATGTGAGTGGGGTGGGGCCGCGCTATGAGGAGGGCCCGCCCGCCCCACTCACATTATATCATCCCCCATGTGTACACCTATATACACATAGCATGACTCAAATTTACTACTCTTGAAAGTGTGAGCTATGAAATGTAGGGTTTGGTACCAAGTACCAGGTAACAATATTGTCCAAAATAAAACAAGAACACATAATTTACAACTGGCATTGTTTTCTGTGTTTGATACGTATTTCACCGAATAAATTTGCCATCACACGCTAGAGATAGAAATAAACATTAAACAAAACAAACCATAACGTGCGGTTTGGACTTTCTAGACTTCCTCAAATATATAAACTAATTTCCATCCATTCAAGATCTATTAATTGTCACCTGCTCTTCTTCATCAAATCTTCTGTCTGAAACTGAAAACTTCACACAACAATGTCAATGCATGCAAAAACAGATTCAGAAGTGACCAGTTTGGCCACGTCGTCGCCAAATCGGGCGGTGTACTACGTGCAAAGTCCGTCAAGGGATTCTCACGATGGAGAAAAGACTACGAATTCATTCCATTCTACGCCGATTCTCAGTCCGATGGGGTCCCCAGGCCGCCACTCCCGGGACTCCTCGTCCACCAGATACTCAGGCTCGCTGAAGCCGGGATCACAGAAATCAAGTAATGGATCGAGGCGGCACCACCACCACCACCGGAAGGCGGAGAAGGGTTGGAAAGAATTTGATGCCATTGAAGAGGAGGGACTTCTTGATGAAGAGGGTGGCTATAAGGGTGTTCCACGGCGGTGCTATTTGCTTGCCTTTATTGTTGGTTTCTTTGTGCTGTTTAGTTTCTTTGCTTTGATCTTGTGGGGTGCAAGCAGAAATCAGAAACCTATTGTCACCGTTAAGGTAACAATTTTATCTTCTTCATAATTTCCACTGATTTTCTTTAATTATTCTCAATTATAAGTAACTTCTCTAAACAATAATGCTTATGATTTAGTAATATGTTTATTCTTTGTCACAATATAACAAAAGTGTGACATATTTGATAAGTTGAATCGAATGGATTTTGTTAAAATCTGCAGAGTATAATGTTCGATAAATTTATGATCCAAGCTGGATCAGATAACTCAGGCGTAGGCACTGAGATGGTGACCATGAATACTACTGTCAAGCTTATTTTCCAAAACACGGGTACATTTTTTGGCGTTCATGTATCGTCTACTACATTAGATCTATCGTTCTCCGAACTTAGAGTAGCCAGTGGAACCGTAAGTACAAGCTCGATTCACTTTATTCGTGCACATTCGACTATGGGATCTTAAATTTTAGTAGATACTTGTTGACCTCACCTCGGAATCTGATGCAGATAAATAAATTTTATCAATCGAGAAAAAGTCGAAGACAGATAACAGTGATGTTGAGAGGAAGCAATATTCCATTATATGGAGGAGGAGCAAATTTAAGCAGCCAAGATGGGAAGCCAGTTGCGCCTGTGCCATTGACATTGAATTTCATGGTTCGAGCCGAGGCCTACGTGTTGGGTCGATTGGTGAAGCCCAAGTTTCGTAGAAGGGTTCAATGCTCTGTGGTTATGGATCCCAAGAAAATGAACGTGGCTCTTTCTTTGAAGAATAATTGCACTTACAATTAAATTATGGGCTGGAAGAGTAATAATCGGGCTTCGTATAATATCATGTTCATATTTTTTTTGTTGAATTGATGAGGGAAACATGGGTGCAGTCATATTTATGGGCCTGGGCCAGGAGTTGACAGGCCTCAATAATGGCACATGATGATATTAGAGATTCTGGGAAATCCAAGATTTTGTATTGCATTTTTGCCGGTACCTTTATTTTTGTTTTGTTTATTTCCACAAAATAAAATAAAACTACAATTAGAAAAAAAAAGGCCTTGGGTGCACTTTTTCTACTTCCCAAACTTCGAACTTTGTTCATTGTAGGACTTGTGTCCCTAATTTTCATTAATTAGTACATCTTATATGTAATAACGATTTACGTTCAAAAGGTTTGTTGGGATGACATAAAAAGATGTAATTGTCCATTATATTATTTAAAAAATAATAAATACAAAAGTGCGGTTCAAAACACGCAAATAAAACATTTTGACATAAACCATCATCAAAGACGAAATATACCAGTTAATAGAAAGTTGAACATAAGAATTTGACGAAAGAGGTTAGAGACATAATTGTTATAGTGAACAAACGATAACGAACTTAAATGCAACTAAGATGTGATGCAACTAAAAGAATGTGAATTGTGGTGTGAATATAATTACACTTACCCAACCAAACATTTCTAATTATTTCCTTCCACGATATAACAACAAACATTTCCAGACTATACCCAACCATCGCTATCAAATCCTCACATGATGCTTATTTCCTTAAAACTACATAGTTTTGGTTTATTATTGACAATGTCACATGTAATAATCTTAGTTCCTTTGATTTTCCAACCTTCTGTTAGGTGAGGGTGGACATACATGATACATGCGTTTGCTGCATCAAGACTTGACTAAAACAATTGCAAATGGAATGTATGTAAATTAGCATGTTCACATGTGGTGTAATGTTTAGTAAAATGACCCTTATCTGTGAATGTGGACCTAATATTTCAAGTTCACACTTATAACCAGTATAGACAAGATTTCATCACCATATTGACCAGACCTTATAAGGGCCAAATTATATGACCTAAAGTTTCACATCAATATTACCAAGCTGAATTTCTACATGTATATAGGTGCTAGAAAATTTAGCTACTCTGAAATTAAATTGAATTTTAGATTATGCTAAAATTTTATTGAAAAACGAATTGTTGAAAATAAGAGAGAGAAAAATGTATTTTGTAAATAATAAGAATCAAATAAGGACCTAACAAATTTTATGAAATTAAAAAAAAAAAAATATCCATGGCCCAAAATTAGCCCCAGCTTGGCCTATTGCTTAGCTAAATGACTGACACTTAGGGTGCGTTTGATTGTGAATATGAAATTTGAGAAAATGAATTTTAGGCAATTCAATTACCTAGAATTTATTTATATGCTAAAATTATTCATTTAATGCACTTGATTGATTTAGTTTTCAATCTAAAAAATATTATACTTGTCCATTTTTTATTAGCATGTAGATGAATGAGAGGTGATAGATAAGAGAGAGAGAGAGACAGAGAGTGAGTGAATTCCCTGAAAAAAAAAAAAATTTACTCCCCTTAAAGAAAATATTTTCCTTGATTTTGAGAAAAATATAATCATGTGACCAAAAGTAGGAAATTGTTTTCCATGGTAAAAAAATATCAATCAAACAACACAAAAATAGAAATTTTGATGGAAAAAACATATTTTTCATGAAAAATATTGGTAATCAAACGCATCCTTAGATCATTTACCTACTTTTTTAGAATTTTTATTATTACCAAATGAATAATTATATTCACATAATAATTTTTATTAATTACATCACATTTTAATAATAAAATGTTTTATTTGCCCATTTTATTTTTTAAAAATTAATAAATGCAAAAGTGAGACAAAGTATTTTTTCTTCATTTCAAAACACATAAATATAATATTTTGATATTGTTACGGGTCTGAGCCAGACCCGCCACCTCACTCTCTGCGCGTCATCATAGGTGGCCCACACCATACCATGTGGCGGACAAAGTAATTGCTCATGAGACGAGCTGACTGGATATGTCGAAGTGATCCCACAAGAACGAACTAAATAGGCGTCAGCAAACGAACCAGACTCATTTGTACGTATACTGTGGATGCAAAGGCCCGCACTCCGCTTCTACAACGCTGCAGCGCCCCTCCTGCCTCACCTCGCCCCTTCAAAGATCTTTCCTAAGTCAAATCACTGACTGATTGAACGTGCGGCAGAACCCAAACGGTCAAATCAACTACTTTTGTCAGGAACATTCAATGTCGCCAACCTACGGAGGGACGAATTGACACCTAGGATGGGACTAGGTTTGAAGATCTGGCAACATGTGTCTCCCCATCGAACGACTCTCATCTTCCCATCCTCGATATAAGTACTCTCTCCTTATGCCTAAAGAAGGATTGAAATCTAACATACTTCAAACTATTACTATATTGCGAAATTGAGTATTCTCCTTCCTTAAATATTAGCACTTGTCGATATACACTTTGTCAAC